CTCTCTCTCTCTCTCTCTCTCTCTCTGTCTCTCAGTATCTCTCTCTCTCTCCCTCTCTCTCTCTCTCTCTCTCTCTCTCTCTCTCTCTCTCTCTCTATCTATCTCTGTATCTCTATCTCTATCCCTGTCTCTATCTTTATCTCTCAGTGGTATTTTAGATTGAATTCAGGGCCTTTGCACTGAGCTACATCCCCAGCCGTTTATAATTTTGAGACAAGGTCTTGCTGAACTTCCCAGGCTGGTCTCAAACCCACAGTCCTGCCTTGGCCTCCCAGAGTGCCGGAATTACAGGCTGGAATTTACTAGTGCCACGCTGATCAGCTAGGAAAGGAGTTTTTGAACGTGGAAAGGTTCTGCTTGAGGTTGTTTACTAGTGAACATAAAAATACTGAGGGCGTGTCTGTTCTGGACACACCCAGAATTTCTATGACCGAGTTACTTAAGGACTTGCTTGTGAAATTCCATGGGCAGGTGGGTGGGGTCACCCTTTGAAGTATTTTTCTATGGAATACTCAGCCGTACCCTGAACCCCACCTTGCAGTGTGTTTAGTAGGGGGCAGAGGAGGTGGTAAAAGGGACCTACAACTTGGCAGTGAGGATATTTGGCTGGGTGAGCTGAAAGGCACCAGCCGAGGCTACCTGTGTGGGCAGGCATCTTGGATAAAGTGAGTAAAAAATTAGCCACATAAAAATGCAGCAAGGCTGGGATGCTGGTGAGGCTGGTGCACAGACTGACCGCATCTGTCCTGCTGTCCCTTTCAGCGGGACAGAACCGGCTCCATGTCCTTCCTGCCGGCTGTCAAGGAGGAGGCCGAGGAAAGCTCCGTGAAAAGTGAAGTAAGGAAAATGATTTTCTTTCTCCATTAGGTTTGCTAGAATCCAGTCTTTAAAACTGGGTCGAAGAAAAGATGTTGAACAGAAATCTAAGAATTTTTAAGTTAATGTTGATTGTTACAATTATTTTAAAACTACGATTGAAGTCGTTCTTTTACGTTATTAATGTTAAGTGCATCTAGCCCTTCTTTGCTGTGTAAGAGAGGGATATTTCATTTTTTGTTTTCTTTTTGGTATTGGGAATCGAATTCAGGACCTTGCGCTTGCTAAGCAGGCACTTGTGCCCCTGAGCTATATCTCCAGCCTGTAAGGGAGGGATAAATGTAGTTCACGCACACTTGTTGACATAAGGAAGAAGGTGAAGATGTCCTCCCTGTATTCTGATTTCTGAGTATTTTTTTCTGAAGTTTTGAGAGTGTGCCGCTTGGCTGGCATTACTGTTGCGGTTTTTAGGACTTTCTTTTTCTGTGTGTGAACTTTTTCTTTGTTCTTAAACACTGTGGCCCAGGACATGAGTTGTGTCAGCAACTAATACAGCCAGTTCTTGCTGCTTTATTACACTGATCACATGAGACGTTTACAGTTGACCTTCCTGATACCAATTTCCACTTCATATTTTAAAAACTAACGTGCTAATGTGTCATATGCTCAAAGGAAGAAAATTGCAGTAGCTTATGTTTTTATGACTTATGATAACCAGTTTTTATGCCCATGCTGTAGAGTCACAGCTCACGGTCACAGCTCCTGTGCTGTCACTTGTCCCCGGGGCTGGGAAGGTGAGGGGTAGGATAGGGAGTCCACTAGGTTCTCAGACAGTCACACAGCTTCCCGACCCAGCTGTGCCCCGTCGTGGTGGCAAGGATTGAGAAAACGGAGTGGCTGGAGCCACCAAAGTCTGCGACGCGTATTGCCTTCAGAACTGATAGGTTTATGGAATTTATCTTTAACAACAAAACATGTGTCCATCAAGTTCTTTTTTAATTTTTTCCTTTTTTGGTGTCGGGAATTGAACTCAGGACCTTGTGCTTGCCGGGCAGGCCCTTGTGCCGCTGAGCTATATCTGCAGCCCTTAGTTCTTTTTTGACAGGTAAAAAATTTGTGTGTGTGTGTAAGTCTCAGGAAACCACATTTGGAAACCTGACTTCATGAGCAAAAGAAATGGGTGGAATACAGGGGCAGCAGGGGCCTAAGGCCTGTGATCAGAGAGCCGGTGAGTGTGTGTGGTGTCACGTTGCGGGGACCCCCTGCCCTCCGCTGACCAGTGTCCCTTTCTAGGATGGACACGAAGAAGCCAGGCTGTCTTCAGAGTCTCAGTCTTTACTCTGGAAGCAGGACAAGGACCTGGAGGGAGATCAGGCAGCCTCGCCCTCTGCCACTGTCATCCAGGTAACTGAAGCCGAGGAGAGCTGCGGGGGGACCAGGTCTTTCCTCTTTGCGGGGCGTCTTTCAGTCAGCACCTTTAAGCCTTTAAATTACCAGTCTGGCTCAGAGGAGAAATAAAAGGAAGGACAATAAGTGAAAGAAAAGAATTTGTTGTTTGATAGAATGCTGAGGGCAGGAAATAGCTCAGGCCAAATTTTGGTCGCTGTAGACAAATACACACTGTACATTTATGGTGTGTGACATGATGCTTTGGAATGCGTATTCACTGTGGAAGGAGGAAACGACGCTAAGGAACATACGCAGCACCCCACATAGTTATCATTTTGTATGTAAAGTCTACATGCTCGGTACTTTTTAAATACATTATTAATTACGGTCATCTATTTGTACAGTAGCTATCACCTCACTCCTCCTGTCAGTCCGAAACGTTGTATTCTGTGACTAGTATGTCCCAGTCCTTCTCTCACAGTCCCTGGTCACCATGACTCCACCTCCTGCTTCAAGTTGTTTAGATTCCGCAGGTGAATGAAATCATGTGGGAACTGTCTTGTCTCTCTGTGCCCAGTGTATTTTACATCATGTCCTTCAGATTTATCCATGTTGTTGCAAATGGCAGGATTTACTTCTTTTTCCAGGGTGAATAATATTCCATATGTACATTTACATTTTATCTGTTTATTCATCAGCAGACAAGGAAGTTGGTTCTGTATCTTGGGTATTACAAATTTTTAAAGCTTTTCACCATTATGCCTGCACAAATACAAAGGCAGCTTTCTTAGCTCTGCTTGTTGTTTGTGTTCCTCTTGTGTGCCCAATTCTAAGTAGATAACTCACAGAGTCACTTAAAGGGCTCTCCACATTATTTTGCCAAAGCATTTAACATGGGTAGGGGTGAGGGGACAACCCTGTAATTCTTTTACTCTTTTTTCCCCCGAGTACTGAGGATCAAACTCAGAGATGCTCTACCACTGAGCTACATCCTCACCTTTTTCTATTTTGAAACAGCATCTTTCTGAGTTGCTCAGGCTGACATCAAACTCCTAGGCTCAAGCTATCCTCCTACCTCAGCCTCCTGTAGGTGGGATTACAGGCATGTGCCGCCGTGGCTGGCCATTAATCATTTAAAAAAGAAAAACAGAAACACAGTAATGTAGAAGAGAAATTAATCAACTAAGTCTTGTTGCTCCTTACAAAATTCTAAATCTCCAGTCTTTCAAAGTGGAAGGCAGATGCCTCCCTGTAGAAAACCAGCCTGCGCTACCTGGCAGTTCCCTTCCTTTGCTCCTGAACGATGTCCAAGGCACTGTCATCATCCCAACCTGTAATCTGCATCTCCAGCTCCTGTCCCTCAGCCAGCTCTAGGCGCCCCCTTCATTCATCGTTGGCTCCATGTTCCGCTTGTCCTGTACCTCCAGTCTCTGCCCCTTGAAGGAGTCCTTCCCTCCCTGCCAGAAGTATTTAGGTTTCCCTCCCTCCTGGCCTCCTCCACGTGAGCAAAGCCCGCCTCTCGCGTGCCTCTTTAGGAGATGCCAGCAGCCCTGGCAGCCCCTCCTCCACTCTTCCTGGGGGCTTCCCACCTGTCCAGGCAGACCGCCTCCACTGCTGCCTTCTCCTCCGCCCCTGAGCTCCAGCAAGGACGGCCGCTCTCTTTCTCTGTTTTCTGTGGACCCCAGCTGTGGCTCACCGCAGTTCCATGCGTACACTTGACACGGTGCCACAGGTGGCCAGCGTCGTATCTCTCCTGCGTGTTTACGACCTGCACAGGGCCCAGGGAGGCCCCTGAATGAATTGACTTTCTTAATCCTGTTTTCCCTCCTGATTACGGTGCTTCCTCTTTCATTTTCCACTAGGCACTTTCACGCCGTGCTCTCCAGGCCCCTGTGTAAGCTAGTTTCTGCCTCTTGTTGGGCTGTCGTTGACTTCTGGAGCATTCCTGAGCCCTTTCGTTAGTCCTGGTCCTGCTTGAGCTCCCCAGCATGAGGCCCTGCGGCCGTCGCTGTGCAAGAAGAGCTGCTTCAGGCTTCCTGGGTTCTGCTCGGCCGTCTCTGCTGCCCCAGCCCCGTCTCCACCTTCTGCCCTTGGCCCTGTCTCGCCTCCGTCTCCGGAAGGCAGGCGTTTCCTCTCCATCTCCTCCGTGGCTTTGGTAGTTACCCAGAGCCGGGGATCCCGTACCCACTGTCTCCTCTTGCCTTTTCTCTTATGTCTGTTTCACATTTCTGCACTTCCCCAGCAGACTTCTTAGGTGAATTATTTTCATCTCAAACTCATTTACTTTCTTTTTTGTTGTTGTTGTTTTTTTCTCTGGTACCGGGAGTTGAACTCACGACCTTGCGCTTGCCAGGCAGGCGCTGTGCCGCTGCGCTAAATCCCCAGGCCCAAGCCTATTTACTTTCAAGCTTGCTCTTCTTCCTAATTTCTCAGTCCCTGCTCAGAGTCTAAGGTGCGTGAACTTCAGCATCATCTCAGGCGCTCGTTTTTCTTCTTTCACAGCCAGCCAGTGGTCAGTGCACCTATTTAACCTTCACACCCTCCTCCCCCTCCCATTATATTTGTGATCGTCCTAGGTAAGCAATTTTATTTCCCCTCTGGGCTTTTCATGGGCTATATAACCTCCAGCTATGGTTCTGAACATGAAAAATTCTGATGGCTTTTCCTAAAGTATATGCTAGACCCCGGCTTAAAATCCTTCATGGATTCTTCTTAGCTACTAAATAAAATGAAAACTTCTTGCTGTTGAAGATTTTTCACGATCCCTTTCTATCTTTCCTTTTTTTTGGTACCGGGAATTGAGCTCGGGACCTTGCAGCGCTGAGCTATATCCGCAGCTACCTTTCCAACTTTATCTCATTGTGCCTTTAATTCTTGGTTCAGTTCTTGGTTTCTGAAAGCACTTACATTAGTCAGATTTCCCATCACTAAGACATCATACCTGAAACCCACAGCGTTAGAAGTGGCTTATTTTGGCTAACAGTTTAAGAGGATTCAGTCCATGGTTGGCCGGTTCCAGGCAGAAAAACATGGTGGAAAGGTGTGGATAGAACAGAGATGCCCGAGCAAGTTGACACAGTCAAACTTAACTGTCACAGCTGTTACTGTTTCCTGCAGCAGAAGCCAAAGAGGAACTAACATTTTGTTAGAAAATACCAGACACTTTATATATATCATCTTGTTTAAAACCCAAAGTATGTCTTTAATTTTGCACTTAATTTATACGTTGAGTTTGTCATATAAGGGAAGTTATGCAGTATAAAATGAAGAACCAAAGTTCAAATCCAGGTGTATAAACTACAGCTTGCAGAGCCATATGTCCACTAACACAGGTGTGCAGGAGAGGGAGAGGCCACCGTGGCCTGGGCCTTCTGAAATGGGTTGGGTTGGGCTCGATGGAAAGAGTTTCAATTTGTTGAAGGCCATTTAAAAAACAACAACAAAATTTGTGAGTGATGTAGGCTTTATTCCCACTTTAAAGATCAGGTAACTGAGCTTAGCATCCAGGTTAAATTGTCCAAGATACCACACAATTCGTAAATAAAACAGTCAAGAGAGGTTGATTGGAACATCCGTCACTTCTCGCCACACTGTTTATTATTTTGTACACATCATTCTCACGTTGTTTAATCTTGTTCAACCTTAGACGTGGGATTGCTCAGTCAAAGCATTGAGGGAGAGAGAGGCAGACAGAGACAGAGGGGAGAGAGAGAGATGGTAGGGTCAAACCCAGAGCCTCGCACGTTCTACACAAGCCTTCCCCCGCTGTGCTACGCGCTGTGTCAAACCGCCCTCCAGAAAGTCTGTGCCAACCTTATTCCAACTGAAAATGGGTGGAAGTGCTTGTCTCCTGATCCAAGTTGATATTTGGTATTATCAGTCTGAGACAAACTGGACCAACGGTTTAAATGGAATTTATAGTTTAAGACTGTTGGCTGTCACCCTTGAGATGTCTTCTGGTTTTTATAATTCTTCTCTGAATTGCTTTTCATACCATTTGACTTTCTGTACATAGGGGTTGATATTTAGCTTACTGATATATAAGATTAATAATGAGTGATTAATAATGAGTGATTTCCACTGACACTGGTGATGGCAGTTTAGTATTTCTTTTAACTTAGAGTATGAAATCTTTTGTGGTGTACATTGTTTTATTTTTATGTTGTTCAGCATAACAGCACTGACATTTTTTTCCCCTTGTTGTTACACTTTGAAACTCCCCTCCTAGAATTTTTATTCCCCTCCTAGAATTTTTATGGCATCGCTTTTACATTTCAATATTAGATAAAATTAGAGTTCATTGGTAGGAGAGAGGCTAAGATTTTAGTTTCATTTATTTTAGAAAATGTCCGGGTAGTTTTTCCCTAAACTTAGTGAGTTCGTTTTTTCTCTTATTATCGGAAATGTGGCTCTTATCAAGAACCTTAATTAAATTCTCGTCACCATCTACTAGTGTACTTAATTCTGTGGGTCCCTCGGGCTCCCGTTAACGAGAGAATTTTGGCAAATTGAAGTCTATCTATAAAGACCAGCCCGAGAAAGCTGAGCCTCCCCCGCAGTGAACGAACTGTTTTCTGAGTTCACCTGGCTTCTCTCGAGGGCAAGGGGGTGTTCCTCTAGCACCGGGACAGAACTCTCCCTGGACCGCCGATTCCTTTCTTTACAGGAGGCAGTGATGAAAATCAGCACGTGTGACTCTTTCATGACACAGACTCTTGCACCAGACTCACCAGACACGGAGCAAGGCCCAGAACTCTCCCCAGGGCTCAACCAGACAGAAAAGGTGAGTCCTGTCTGCTGCAAGGCGACTGCTCAGACAGCCGCAGTCCTTATGTGTGTGTTGCGCCGTGTTCCCTGTGAACCTGGCTTGTTTGTCTGTGCTGTTGAGCTGCAGAACTGGAAGATTTGCTCTCAGTTATTTGCGTAAGAAACAAGCCTGGCGTGGAGCAGTGTACCACTTGTCCGGCACTTGTCAGCGCGAAGTCGTCCTTCCCTGTCTGCCGTAGTCTTACACGTGGCATCTGGGGACCGTGGAAGCGGAGATGAGCTAATATTGGTCCATGGTCGGTTACATAAAAGGCATTTATATTTATTTCTGTTCAATCATGTGGTAGGTCACTGCCTACCAAGTGTTTACAAAAGAGCAACCAAAATCCAGAAAATGATACTGCAGATAGCGAAGGGGAGTGTAAGGAATCAACCCCAGAATGTCCCGAATGTCCCAACCCTCCTTCCCAACCCGAAACCTGTCTCGGTGCTTCTCAGGTAGGCCTTCAGGGGACACTATTGGCCAGGCTGGCTTTGGTGCTCAACTGGCCCTAAAGTCCCATAGTTGTAGCTCCAGAAAACATACTGGCATGCTTTTGCTGCTTTAAAAAATAATTCTAATTTTTTATACAGTGTTTTATCTATGTCCTCCCCCAATCATTTATGCGGCTTTTTACCAGTCTTTTGCCGGTTCTTAGAGAAGGAGACTAGTTGCAAATTGTTATTCTTCTCTTTTCCCGCCTCCCTTTCCATCTCTAACAATAGACACCCACAGGGTCGGCGGAAGTCAGAGACTGGCTCTCCCTGGCTGCACCGAGACCTAAGAAAGTTGCTGACCTGCTCAGTAGGGTTTTCTTGCTGCCCGGAATTAATACGTTATTTTTGACACCTTCAATTTGGCTATGGTAGGCACTCTGCTTAGTGCGTGCCACTCGTGGGGCGGCTGGTCACAGCGGCTCGACGCCCTGCCCAGCTTGGCACCAGGTAGTGATGATAGTGAAGAATGTAAAAAGCTTCTGCTGAACACTTCCAATGGGCCAGGCACGGAAGTGTGCAGCTCCGCCCTCTTGCCCCGGCAGCCCTCTAAACGGCAGTTACCACTGCTACCCTGCTTCACAGGTGGGACGTGGCGGCTCTGAGCATTTATGTAAGCTGCCAAGGCCACGTGGCCACTGACTGGCAAAGTTAAGATTGAAAGCCAGGCCGGGCGTGATGGCGCACGCCTGTAATCCCAGCACTCGTGAGGCTGAGGCAGGAGGATCGTTGTGAGTTCGAGACTAGCCTGGGCTACAAAGTGAGCTCAAGGCCAGCCTGAACTGCATAGTGAGACCCTGTCTCAAAAAGACTACCCCCCAAAAAAAATGAATTTAAAAAAAAGATTGAAAGCCAGATCTTTCTGCCTGTGGGTTTAGAACCTCAGATTTTAACTCTAAGGCTCTAACATCTGTCTCTTAAACTCAGTTGGGCACATACATATTTGCATTTTCTTCCCAGCAGAACTTCTGTCCCGAGGGTGCCTGTTGGATTCGCGGGTACCAAAATGTAGTGGGAGGTCAGCTTTCATCCCAGCAGGGTTCTGCCCACTTTTGATTGTTCTGCGCTTTTCCCTCCTGTGCCCAGTGGCCCAGCACCAGGGGGGAAAGGGGCTCCTTGGTAACCAGGTGGCCCTCACGGACCTTTTGTTTTAGAGTTGAGAGCGTGGGCCAAACGAGAATCACGTAACTCTTAGTAGAGTTCAGAGACATCCGTGTCTTAAATTGCAACAAAATGTAAATATTAACACAGAAAGAGGTGAAACCAAGGCAGGCTGACCTCACAGGAGGCACCGCCACTGTGCCCTTCCCGCGGGACGCCTCCGTCTGTGTGTGTCGGCCCTGCGCCCAGGCGGCAGCTTCACATCTTATAAGTAGGTGAGATGTGTAGGTATCTACAGAACGGACTAAAATAATAAGGAAGAAATTTAAAGGGCGGTTACTTGGGTATAAAATGTAGCTCTAGCCGGAAAAGGAACTCGCATTTGCAGTGGTGGTGTTAGGTCAGGGCTGTGCTGGTGTGGACATGAGGGGCCAGCTTGGATACTGGACAGAGGGTGAAGCTGGGTCAAGGAAGTGGACTTGCCAGTCCCAAGCAGAGCGAAATCAGGAATTGCATTCTGGTTCTGCTTACAGGTTGCGTGAGCGTGAGCAGAGTGAACAACCTTCCGAGGCTTGTTTTCTCGTCTGCACACGCGGAATACGTACAGGCTTGCGGGAAAGTGGCGAGGTGGTCTGTGTGACACTTAGCGCCGCGCCTGTTTCCTAAGAGCGCGATGAAGACGAGGTGTTGTTAACATAGTTATGCTACAGAGAATGACAGCATCTTCCTTACGGACAGGAAGCACTGGCAGTATTACATGTAGCTCCAGAGTACATAGATAGAAAACATTCATCTCAGTGATTTCTGCCATTTCGATGTGGAGCCGTGTCTTAGAGAAGACCTTTTGCTGGGTGTTGTTAGGGAAAGAACTCGGCGTTCATAATCTTAGCATCGCAGAGCTTTGCCTCCCTGGCCTGCTGGCTGCTGTGTCCTGTAAGCTCCTACGGATCTCTCGAAGGGGTGGCGCTGTGCTTCCTCTCTCTATGGCTCCCTGGCTGGGAGGTACACACACACCATGCCCCTACCCAGCGTCTACCCGTCCCACAGTGAAGGTGCCACATTTGGTGGGTGTGGGGGCGTCTCACACACAGCCTATGCCTTCAATTTACAACCCAGGCTCCTGCATCTTAAAAGCCATTCAAATAACTGGAAGACATTTTCAGTTTAAAAAATCAAAGCAGTTGACCTTAGGCAAATGGCTGCCGTCTGGGCCTGCACACTCGGGAGCCACGTGGTGAGACAGGAGGCCCCGGAGCTGACTCACTTCCCCCGGCTCAGGGCTCGCGACTGGAAAAAGCAGGGTGAGCCGATCCCTGGCCGATTCCTGATCACTTGCAGCTATCGACCTTCTAAGGTTGCACGCAATCTTTCTTTTTCCCGTCCTCCCTTGGAGTCTGTTCGGGTTCAACTACCAAGCAAATAAAGCCCAGATTAGTCCTGCAGTTTGCTTATTTCCACATCGAGTTAGCGACAAAGCAGGGCAATTTGATACTGTTATTTTTGAATATGTGTGGAGTACAAGAGATGTGCAAATAGAATTTTGAAGAAATCAAGAAGGCAAATGGTAAATCATTTATTACAGATTAGCTAATAACAGAGTTTTATCTCAAGTGGCAAGAGGGGGTCTCCCCCAAGTCTTGGCCGCTAACAGAGAACAATAACCTGAAAACTAGGAAGTAACCAGATGGTTAGAAATCCGTATCACACAGCTGCTGCTTTTTTTAAAAAAAAATCTAGAATTAAAAAGGAAAACCGAAAGAAGTGAATCCAAATATAGATCTGACCATATATGAAATCCAGAGGAACCACAGGGCAAGTGAAAACTTCCTTAAGGAGGGGGTTGGGGGATTGAGGGACCCAGGGCCTTCACACTGAGCTACAGCCCCAGCCCTTTGTTTATTTTTTGTTTTGAGACAAGGTCTTGATAAGTCACTAAGTTGCCAAAACTGGGCTTAAATTTGAGAACCTCCTGCCTCAGCTTCCCAGAATGCTAGGGTGACAGGTATGTGCCATCATTCCTGTCAAGGTGATTCTTGAAAAAAATTATAAAGACAGATTGATGATAGCAGGGGGAAATGAGCATTTGTAGGAAAAGAGCACGTATGTGTGAGTAAGTGGAAAACCAGGTGGAAAAAAATGTATCTCAGAGACACATTAGTGTGTATGAAAATGAATGATGTTCCCTGTCCTGCAGGGCTTCTTTCCACCTACCAGTTTTGTTCACTCTTAAGTCCTACGTTGGAAAAAAACCTCCAAACGTTAGGAAGTGTGCACTTCTGAGCACACCCCTGAGAAGTTTGTCATTTGACCCAAATGGTGCTTTGTTAGGTGCTAACAAGTTGTTAACAAAGTCTTATATAGAAAACATCATAATTTATCATAATCATAATAAAGTGTTGGGACCAGTGGTTTTGTAGAGCACAGCATAAATCTTTATCCCACTAGAAGGGTCAATATACTCTTTTCATATTGTGGACAAGGTTAAGCAATAGAGTAGAAGTCAAATATATCCTTGTATTAAATCATCTTTTACCTCTGAATTGATACCATCTAATATAAAATTAATAAAATACTTTCATTTACTATCTGGGTGAGATTTTGCTATTACATTGGTAAGCCACCCACTTATTTCAATGTAAAAAGAATTCCTCATACTTTCTTCGAGCTGTACCTGAAGTACTTATTCCTTAACTCAGTATTATTTAAATATCTAGAAGGTGAAAGTCATTTTAGGGTTTTCTCTGAAGAATAGAAAAAATATTTCCAGGTGACTCATGCAGAAGTTTATTACTTGACTCAAGCTATTTTTAGTAGAAGTGTAGATGAGGAATAGCATGTATGTTTAAAGAAAAGCCAGAATATTTTGTCACCTAACCATTTTAAAGAGAAGGTGTTAAGTTAAAAATGTGTGGCATGTTTCGTTGTCCCCTGCAGTATGTAAAGATCTTTTTCTGTTGTTGTTGCTTTGGCCTTTTCTGTTTGAATAGAGCTCACAGCAATGTATGCATTGCTTAATCATGTGTCGTGCAACTTTAAATGCCAGCTGGCCGGTCCCCTGCAATGCTTAGCACACTCACACGAACACGCACACACTCACCTCCCTCTGGGGCTGCAGCGTACTGAACTGTGAGTCGTTGGCTCTGCGGTGCCTGGGAATAGTGTACCTGTGTACGCTGAGATCAGCTGCTTGGAAACCAGTGCCACCCGATCACGTGACTGTGGCTATGAGCGTGGAGGTGAATTTTGCTTTTCTTTCTTCCTTCTCCTGCCCTGGTTTTGTTCCTTCTACCTGGGGGAAATGTCACAGCTCCTCAGGTCTTTGCAGGCCCAGGACTGAAGTCTTTGGACGGCTGGCTTTTCACTGGTAGCTTACCTGTGGGTTTATTGTAGGCTGCCACACCTCCGCCCGAGGCTGACGCTCTGGACTTTGCTGACGAGCAGGGACCTTTGGGACCCACGGAGGAGCAAGCGGGGCCGCCGGCTGCAGAAGTCCTCCATGTCTGCCAGACTCAGGTGGCCGAGCTGGAGCTGTGGCTGCAACAAGCCAGCGTGGCATTTGAGCCGGAAACGTTAAACGCAGACATGCAGCAGGTGGTGGAGCAGGAGCTGGTTGGGTGCCAGGTAAGACTGCCAGGCCAGGGTTCACGCCGGCCTCCTCTCCAATCCCCTGCCGGGGCGAGGCAGTGTTTTCTTAAAGCAACAAGGTGTCTCTTTCTGGTGCTCTGACGCTGACATTCACGTTGGCCCCTCTCGTAGTCCTCAGGGTAATTCGTTGAAATGCTTGAGGTAAGGCACATCTGGCAGGACAGCAGCAGCTAAGGGCTCAGAATCTGGAGTTCAGAGCCAGCTCTGCCACATTAACTGTGAACCTGGAGAAGTTAACTTCTCACCTTTATTTTCCCTGAGTGGTATACTAAGTCAGCTCATAGTTTACAGGATTAAATGAGATAAGGTATATACAGCAGTGTCTAACATATAAAGCATCTAAAAGCTGCTCCATGACTGTTACCTTTAGTAATGGTCTTACGTATTGTGAAGATTCATTCATCAGAAATGCAACCGAGTGTCCTGTTGTGTGAAGGTGCACATTACAGCAGAGACGGGCCTTGCTGACATTTTACCTGGAGCGCTCCTGTCTTGCTTGGGAGGACCAAGGACACCACTTCTTTGGCTTTAGATGCTAGGAAAAGCTCCCGGGCTCAGCCTGAAGGTTGGGATCTCTGGCTGCCCCAGGGAGGAGCTTTGAAATGACACCGTAGCAGCGTAATTGAGAGTCACGTTGCAGGGCCTGACCCCTGCCATTCCCAGGGCTGACGCCTCTGCCATACTGACTTGTTTCTGTGCCAGGCCTGCAGGCGTCCCCTGGTCTGAGTGCCACTTCCCTGCCTGGCTCTGAGCAACTCTTCCTGCAGTTGCGGTCGTTGTGTGGGCAGGGTGGCTGTCCTCACTGCAGGGCTGTGCCTCCTCGCCTGGCTTGGCCCCGCTTACAACACCCAGAGCTGCCGTGGGGCTGGGGGGCGGGCGGATCGTCACTGCCCCCCGTCGTCGGTCCAGACGGTCAGCTCTAGTAGCTTGCTCAGATACTGACACTGCCCTTTGGCCTGGCTGATAAGGCCCAACGAGGGCTTTTGAAAAAGACAAGTGCGGCACAATGCAGACAAGGCTGAACCTGACGCATTCCGGATTGTGAGTCCAGCGACTCACAGTGTCCAGGGTCGGCCTGCCACCCTGCTGCCTGCTGATGGGGCGGGCTCCATGCCAGTTCCGTGGTCATCCCTGGAGTCCCACCCTCATCGCCACTTCTCTCCCAGTGTCAGGATTCCAAAGTCACACAAAGGCGCAGCCACCAGGTGGCAGGAGCTCCCAGGGGACTTCATGTGAGCAGTGCTTTGCCAGGGTCGTGGTTAGAGGGAAAGGGTCCCTCCGAGCAGGAGGCCTTCCCCGAGAGGCTGAGGCGGAGGGTTGGGGTGGGAGTGGGCTGCTGCCCAGGGGAGGAGGAAAGGGAACTTAAGTGTCTGGGTGATGTCCTGCCCGATGGAGAGTCCCCGGGTCTGTGAGCTCCGCAGGGCAGCAGTCTGGGCATTTTTTATACCCGGGGTTTGCTGTACTATTGGCTGACAGATGTCAGCATGGGTTTGAGGTATATACAATGCAGGCGTGCTCTGAATGGCTGAAAACATGCTTCTTCGGGCCAAGCTAAAGCCACAAAATACATTTAGAAATGGACTTTAGTGCAGCAGGACCGATGGTTCTGACCTGCTGGGAAGAAAGAACATAGCAGCCGACACACCAGGGCCGTCTTTGGTCACTCACTTGACAGCGTGACAGAGTTTCATATTGAAATACGTGGAAAGTCTGCAAGTGGTGTGTAAAGGCTAAGTTCCGGAAAAATGGCCAAAGGATAGAGCAAAACAGATCAGTCAAGAAAAATTATATCTGGTAATTCAATATTTGATAAGAAATATTTAGCCTTGATTATTAAAAACGTGAGGTAAAACAGCTGACCTTTTGTTGCTGTATTACATTAGCAAAAATTGTATCGCTGTGGCAAAGTCTAGAAAAATACATCCACCAAAGTTAGTAATTCTGTCTGATTGGTTCAGTGTTTAGAAAGATCCGTTGTCAGTATATACAGTGTCCCATCATCTTTGACGCAGTAATGCTATTAGGTTACATTTACCCTCTGAAAATAATTGAAAATGAGAAAAATGATTATGGTAGCATTGGCTCCCAAACTGAAGACCTGGAAGCAGCTTACCACATTCGTGCCTGCTTGGACCGGGGGTGGTACCCGCATGACTGTCCCATGGGGTGGCGTGGGACCATCTCATCGGGTGGTACAAGCTGCCTGATGGGGCAGTCATGCCTACATGGCCCTGCTGAGTATGTATTAAAGTGGTACCAAGAGGGAAATTGTTAAATGAAATTGTGGAATGTCAACCTGCTACATTAACATGGGAACCACGTATGGAGACATAAAAAAATACTCACAAAATAACCAGGTGTGGTGAGGAGTACACTCTGTTTAAAGCCACTCTTAAATGTGTGAGTACGTATTGTTTAAGCTCGGCAGAATCTAGAGGATGTAAGTTGCTTCCTCGGATGAACGAGTTATATTATTTGAGAATGTGTTTTAAGGATAGAAATTTTCTTTAAGTGTCCCTCAAGGACCTGAATTTAAGTCACACACCGAGTTTTATTGCCTGTGATCACAGTGCTGAAATATGAGCATGCTTCTCTGCCAACTGTGTGCCCAGCCCGTTGGCACGACCATGCGGTCTCCTGAGCCCCAGGAGAGGGCAAACTTGACCCGTGGAGGCGGAATACAATGACCATGACTTACTGGGAAACAGTTCAGCCAGCTGACTTATTTTTAGACCTCTGTATAAATTGGCCACTTGTATCAATGACTAAGTGTTTTTCGTTCCAATTTTTTTTTCTTCTGGGGTGTCCTGATTTTTGGAGGTTTACTTGGCTTGAGAAGGAGAAGAAAAAGAGCAAGGAGAAGAATTCTTAAATAGTCGTGTGGAATTCTTTTTTCTTTCTTTTAAACGTCCTACTTGACTGATGCTCAGATAACAAGAATAGTCAGCATTCTTTAATTTTGTGCTTAATGCTTTTTAAGCATAAAACTGTGTACATATTTTTAATTGGTTAAATCCAATTAAAATTGTGGATTAAGGGATTTGACTCATTAACTCCTCACAATAACCCTGGGTGGGAAATCCTGTGATTGTCCCCATTTTACAGATTTCTAGAGGCAGGCACATATAAAGTGAGAGGCGTAAGCGTACACAGGTACCAAGTGGTGGCACTGGGATCCAAACCCAGGTAGTCCGGTTCCAGCATCTGTGTTCCTAACCCTGTGTTCTACTGGATATGTGCAGCAGTGGTTTTCTAAACTGATTATTGAATTGCTTATTTTAAATTTCAGATTTTATTTCAGAGACTGATATCTGTAGTTAGGTTTGATTTGGTTGCATCCCTGCTGAAAAGCACAGGAATTACGTGGAAGTTTTTCTCTTCCCTGGGGCCCTTCTATCCTGGGTTTTTGAGACCATGAAGTAAAGAGAGTGAATCTCACTTCCTTTGGGGGACACCACTTGCTCAGGAGCGACACTGTGGGCTGGGGGTCTCGCTCAGGGGCACAGCACGTGCCCTGCATGAGCACAGCTCTTTGTTTTGTTTTGTTTTTTTGTTTTGTTTTGTTATTTTGGTTTTTTTTCCGGTACTGAGAATCGAACTCACGACCTTGCGCTTGCCAGGCAGGCACTGTGCCGCTGAGCTAAATCCCCAGCCCCTGAGCAAAGCTCTTTGAGTTCAACCACCAGCACCTAATTTTTTTTTAATTCTTAAAAATGCCCTTCGACTATGGAGGAACAAGAAAACAGCCTGTTGCTAGACACAGGTGCAAGTCTCTCGGTCCTTCTTTTCAATCCTGGCCTTCCTTCCAGCCATCATACCTCAGTGAAAGGAGTCACTGGTGAGGAGGTAATATGCTATTTTTGACAACCCTTAGGCTGTAACTACTTAATAGGTCCCTCTTGCATATCTCTGTCTTCCTGAGAAACCACTCTGAAGATACCACCACGTATTACAGCAGCCATTGATATTTTCCTACTAACCTATCCATAACTGTGTAAAGTTTGTAATGTTCCTATCCTATTTCATAAATGGATGTCTGTTTATTATTATGTGTTTCCTACAACAACCATTGAGAATAGTTAATGATTTTTCAATAGGTCACTCATGTATAGCTCTATTTATTTTCCTTAGAAGCCACTTTGAAGATACCAAAGTATAGTACAACAACTCTTGATAATCTCCTACCTCTTTTGTCTGTAACTCACTATTATTTGTCTATTTGTTTTCCTGAGAAACTATTTTGTAGACAATAATATGTAAAATGATAACCATTGATAATTTCCTACCATTTTGTCTGTAATTTGCTAAGTCCCCCCTATTATTATGTTATCCTTGTTTTATTCTTTAAAATAAAAAAAAAAAAATGCCCTTCACACTGACTGACTGCGTGCCTTCATTTCCTAGGCTATGCTGACAGAGATTGAGCGCAAAGTTGCCTGTCTGCTAGAGACTTGCAAAGATCAGGGCCTGGGAGACGGTGGAACGACTCAGCATGAAGCTGAAGTTCTTTCCCTGAAACTCAGAACTGTGAAGTGCAATTTGGAAAAAGTCCAGATGATGCTTCAGGAGAAGTACAGCGAGGACCAGGTAAAGCATGGCCGGAGGAGCCACGGTGCTGGCATACCCCAGCCAGCCGAGGAGAAGCTGGGTGGGCGGGCTGAACCCACTGTGGAGAAGCCGTACTGAGGGGCGATGGCCTGTCTCTAAGCTGGAAGGGATGGGCATGCTGGCTTTGCTTCTTTTTATTTCCTTTTCCTGTCTAGGTTTCTTACCTCGGTTTTTGGCGGTGGTTTGATTTGGGTTGGTTTAAGCGGGTTGAGTGTTCTTACTGATAATGCAGCTTGTATGAGGCTTCTTACATCAGAAGGGTGTATTTTAAAGGAGTTTTAGAACTCCAATTGACTAGAAAATGCAGACTTTTTTAAGTAAGATTGAAATTTGACATAAAAAAAAAAACCTGTTGCTAGGCCACTTTTGTTATTCATTTACAAATATTTATATATGCTGATCAGAGTGTGATACAATGACAGTGTTCTCGTGATCTTTGAAAGCATCTTGTGTTTATAAATGCAAATATGAGTGTGTGGTGGTGCAAGCCTATAATCCCAGTACTTAGGAGGCTGAGACAGGAGGAGTTCGAGGCTAGCCTGGGCTACATAGTGAGACCCTGTGTCATACATACATACATACATGCACACATACACACATGAATGGAAATGTGCATCTTATGAGTAAAATATATGTAAGGTTTATCTCCAAATTTGGTAAGTGGTTCCCACTTGGGGACTTACGTTCTTAGTAATAAGACGGGCTTCAGGTACATAAGCCATATGCTTTCCCTTTCATCCTACTGTTTTCTGGGGTTTTTTGAAATTTTTTTTTAAACATTAAGCAAATTTGAATTTAAAATCATAATATTTGTTTCCCTTTTAGATTTTTTTTTTACTTTGTTCTAAAGACAAGAAGGCAGTAATTTTCCTGGCTTTTAGTAATTCATTGGATGGCTTAGGTTGAGAAAATAAGGTGATTGTCTCATCAAATGTAGTGATTTTTGAAGTTATTCTAAGTGCATTACATCACAGTATCTTACTGTGCGCTTGCTGTAGCGTATAACAAAGTACTGTCACTTTTTATAAACTTTCCCGCTGGTAAGGTTAAGATAAGGGAGGTCTTTTTATGTAGTCTGCCATCTTGAATTTTTTTTTTTTTTAACAGCTTCCTACCATTCTGAAGAAGCCTTCAGAACATCAAAAAGTTCTCCAGCCAGTTTACCTTTCAGAACTGGAATCTATTATAACTGAAAGGCCACAGTTTAGCAGACTAAAGGATGTCCCACAGCAACAGGTAATTTTGGCCACCAGCAATTGTAAGAAAACCTTGTGCCATTGGAGTTTCTGCGCATTTGACTCTAAGCTGGGTGTGACCTGGGTGGTGGCGTGTGTGCAGTAATGCTGTTTTCAGCATTTGCTGCGTTGCTTCCATCTGCCGATTCTGGGGACATGAGCTTTAAGTTGTATCATGTATCAAGCTAAGCAGATACCTCCAGGGTGACCTTAACGCTGTAACTACAACACCACTATGCTCATTGTCTCAAACATGGTAGTGTATTTTTGTTGATTTTTTGAAACATATGTCTAATTTAGTTTAACACTTGGCTATTCTTTGAGTGTTTTAAGTGGGCTTTTGAGAAATAGAAGTTAAGAAGGACAGACAATCAAGAAAGAGAAATAGTAAACAGTGATTTTAAAAAGTGGTTCAAAATAAGATTATTTCAATAGAAGAAAAAAATCTTTAAGTATTAACTGAAAAACTGGATTAACCCAGCCATTTGAATCTTACTCAATTATAGGTTCTGGAGTTAAAGCCGATGGAACAGAAAGATTTAATCAAATTCATAGAATGTAATGCTAAGAAAACATGGCCACAGTATTGCCAACAGGATAAAGATACTGCTCAGGAATCATCTACAAGGTAAAACATTGTAAAATAGTCAGGCAACAGGAGATACACGTTTGGGAGGATGAAATTTTTTTAAAAGCTATTCTCAAAATAAAATGTAATTTTAAAAATTGTATAGATTTTTTTTTTTTGATGGTTCTTTTTACTATTTTTTCGTCCTCAAAAGTAGCAAAGCATCTGACTCTGACAGTGAAGCCCCAGACTCCGTCCTTGCATCACCGGGCCAGGGAGGAGATAAATGGCAATATCTCCGCCATGAACTGGCGTCGAGAACGCAGCTGCCTCTGCCTCAGGTTGTGGAGCCCCAGGTCAGTGTGAGTCTGCTCCCCGTGCAGCAGCCTGTTTGTCTGTGGACCCAGTGAGCGTGCATTAAATCCACAGTGTGTAGCAGTTTATGTTCAGAAAGCAAAGCGCCAGGTAGGCTCCGTGCCTGGCCCGCGCTTTGCCTTCATCCTGGGAATCCGCACTAGGTGCCCCTAGCACCCTGCGCGTCCCAATCGTAGCGCTTCCTGCACTACTCACCGGTGTGTCTGTCTTCGCTACTGGAGCATCTAAGAAGAAAGACCACATCTGCCTGGTCTGCAGTTGTGTGTAGCACAGCGCCGGGGACTCAGGGTCTTAGTGACCGTTCGTTGAACGAGTAAAGGAATGAATAATATACGTTCATTTTTAAGGCGCTTTGAGAACTGCATAGCGCTGCATGAGCGTCAGTCATCACAAGGTTCTTTGGGCCCTAGCTCCTGCCGGCTTGTGTGTGAGGAACGCCTGTCATCCCCGTTCCCACCCGCAAACGTTACCAGGCCGGCCCACTCTGCTGGCTGCTGCCGCCTTTCTCTCCACAAGGAGCAGATGAGCACAGCGCTCGGGCTTCTGTGTTCAACCAGGACTGAGCCTGCCTGGGCAGAGGCTACCCATGAGTTCCCACTTCCCCGGGCTGGGGGATTTCTCTCCTGCAACAACCTTATTTGACCAGTTAAAGTTGAATCAGTCTCCTTGGTACGGCCATAGTCTTGGTTTCTCCTCCTCGATATGCACTGTAAAATTTGTATTCAGGTCTCTTTGAAAGAATCGAATGCCATCCAGTAGTTCTTTGCCCAGGCAAACTCATCTACCATTGCCTTCTTTTAATATATTAGCTTTCCAGAAAGACATTAACTCTGGATCATTCCCTCCTGAAATCACAGCTCTTTTGCAGTGCTTACTTGGCTTTTCAGTACCAGATCAGGGTGTAAATGTATCCCTACATGTGACTTGCTTGTCATTCTAGGAATTAGCTATACCAGGAGCCAGTGAGGAGCTAGTAACTACATAGTAAATAGGCGAATAAATGGATTAGTAGACAGATAACCTTGTAACGTAAGTATCTCTGCTATTAAATTGAATGATTAGTGTTTTACTTTATTCCTCAAATTATGAGTTGTTTCCCCTGATCCTCATAAATGGACCTTCAGGTATCTAAATACAGCCTGTCATGACGTTTCAAAGCTGCCTGAAATATTTAAAGTTTTTTCATATAAATGATATGGTAAACAAGAATGCTTACCAAGAAGGTAATTCAGAAGACTGCACGCAAAGACATTTTTCTATTTACATTCGCATCAGCATCCACTCTTGCTAATTAGCTCTCCCTTTCCTACGTAGGTTGCCGCAAGTATAAGTACTCTCCCCAGTGTGAGTGTGTGTAACTTCAAATACCCTACAACTGAAGAGCTGAAAACTTACACGACCCAGCTTGAAGACCTGCGCCAGGAAGCTAATGACCTTCAGACACAGGTACAAGCTGCGTGTTGTACATTTTCCTCATAGCAAAAACATGAAAAATAAGAGAAGTAGACTATCTTAATTGCAAGTTGATCATAATTTTATTTACCAATCAGTGGAGCACATAATGGAATAGATCCTAAAACTGCAAATCGAGTTGACCTTGCTTGCCAAGTCTGCTAAATTTTGTAGTGGCTGCCCGGAGTAAAGGATTCTAAATAGGAACCGAGAATTAGCAGGAAAGAGGACGGTGGCTGATGGGTGCTGTCTGCAGTGGTGAGGTGGGCTGGAAGGGTGAGGAAGGAGGAGAGGGAAGGGTGCAGGCCAGGTTTCCAACTTTGAGTAGACTTAACCTGAAATGGTGTGATGGGTAGGTTAGGGATGCATCAGAGAACCCAGGAGGAAGCAGCCCAAGGAGGAGTGAGTCATTACTAGCCTTGGCATCTCTTAAACTGCTGGTCAGGCATTCAAGGAAGCCATGAGTGAAGAAAAAGTAGTTCCGTGAGCTTGTGCTAAAAGGGATCTGTAGCTCCCTAACTCAGTGGGTACAATTGTACGGCCCCAAGGGCTTCTTCAGAGCCGTGCATTTAAGGGTTGCCTTGATGATCACAGTCAGTCCATAAATGATAGTCCGCGCTCCCTGTCGCACTGCCTATCATTCATTCTTTTTTCTCCCCCGGTTCTGGATATCAAACACAGGGTCTTGTGCTTGCTGAGCAAGTGCTTAGCCCTGAGCTATACGGCCACACACCCAGCGCTACCTTTAAGATACCGTATTTCCTCTTCCTAATTAACCCCTGCAAGCTTGTCTTTTGTGAGTTCTTTTCCTTCTCCTGGCTCTGCTTAATTCCACTGACCCACTTTCTCCTACCGTAAATGCAGAGGGCAGGAGGCAGTGGGAGGAGGGATAGTGTGGTTTATCTGGGACCAAGTAGCCGCTTGGATGGACTGGCTAAGGAAGCCCTGCGTCTTACGGTGGACACTGTAATTCATCAGTAGTTAACACACGACTAAGATTGAGTTTCTTAAACATGTTTTTCTCTAGTTTTCTTTCTTTTGTGGCCTAGCTCTCGTTCCCTGATTAGTAAGAGCACTGACTAGTCCAGGTTTTAGAGCTCATTGAATTGAGACAGCTTATTAGTAAGACAAAATCTAACTGAAATTTCGGTCGAAACCAGGAAAAATGTACTTTTAGAAAGGCAAGGAGGGGCTGAGGATATAGCTCAGCAGCGCAAGCGCCTGCCTGGCAAGCTCAAGGTCCTGAGTTTGTTTGCCGGTATCCCCACCCACCCCCGCCAAAAAAAGGCAAGGAATCAAATCCTAATTTTTTTTTCGTGATTCAGGAAAATGTGACAGAAGAGCAATATGTCAGTTTGGACAAGAAGTTATTTGACTTCTGCCTGACGCTCAGCCAGAGCCTCGGCAGCGTGGAGGAGCTGCTGCAGACGCCAGGGCTGCTGCGGGAGGACGCGCCCGGCCAGCAGGCGCACTGCGAGGTGGGCCCGTCCCTTCCCCCAGGCCCCTGGCCCGGCCCGGCCCAGGCCACATGGGTCAGTGCTCATCCTCTGCCTTCCTTCCTGTCCACTTCACAGGAGCTGGCTCTTGAGCTGAAGAAACTGTATTTAGCGCTGGGTGACAAGAAGGATGACCTTTTGAAAGCCGTGACTTGGCCTGGCACGGGCGCCAGTTTGCTCCTTGACTGTTTCAATGGCCTCCAAGTCTGCCTGGAGCGTGCGCAGGTGAAGGCTGCCTGGAGAAGCAAGTCGCTGAAAGCTGGCCTCGACTACACCCACAGCTATCAGGTATGGTGCCGAGCACAGGGCGGCCGCTCTGCGGCGTGGGCCCCTGATTCATCCCTCCTCCCGGCACGATTAGGAATTGCTAAGGAAGGTGGTGAGACCCTCCTGTGCTTATGGTTGAAACACGTTTGAAAGGAAGTCCCTTTCCAAAGTCTGTGTATGACTTTATTAGGATGGGCTTACTCTGAAGTTTCTTTTCTTACATACGTCAGCTGTTTAATAATTGTAATGCAGGAGGGTTTTTATTTTAATTTCTAGGCAAGGGAGAGTCGTTAAAGGTTTTTCCCTGTACGATTCAGGTAGGTTCATGTGGCAGACCTCTCGGGTGGATGGAGCAGGGAGAGGCTTGGCGGAGAGGCTGGTGGGAAGCTACTAAAATTACCTGATAAAAAAAAAGAAGGAGACGCGAACCACTTATGAAAAGTCAAACCTGAATCTGATCAGACTTCTGAAATCCAAGTAAAACAGACACAGGGGAAAGCACATGTTAAATAGCACCACGGGGATGCAGTCTGCCAAACCTAGAATCACTTACTCACTTTTTTGTTTGTGCGCACAAATCCAAGAAATAAAAGGGAAAGAGGATGTGGGATTCTACAGGTTAAAAGAGTTAGTAAGAAATATTAATCCAGGGGCTGGGGATTTAGCTCAGCGGCAAAAGCGCCTACCTGGCATGCGCAAGGTCGTGAGTTCGGTTCCCGGTATCGGAGAAAAACAAAAACAAACAAAAAAAAAGAAATATTAATCCATCACAGTAGAAAGACCTCACCTGGATCCCAGTTGAAATGAACCAAAAAGACAAATTATAGGTAATTAGAGAAATGGGAACCCTGTCTGGATAGTTTATCATACTAAGGAATTCGTGTGGATTTTGACAGGAATGTGTTGGGTTTGTTTGTTTAGTTATAGGAGGGTTCTTTTTTTGGCAGTACTGGGGGATTGAACCCAGGGCCTTGGCACTGAGCTACATCCTTGGCCCTTCTTGTATTATTTATCTTGAGATAGGGTCTCACTAAATGGCTCAGTCACCCAAGCTGGGCTTGAACCTGTGATCCTTCTACCTCAGCCTTCCAGAGGGCTAGGATTACAGACATTTGCCTCCAGCTCCAGCTATATTGTAATATTTTTGAATGGAGAGAGCTTTATCTTTTGAGATACAACATACTGTTAACTAACTTGCTGTCTGATATTTGCTTCAAAATATTCTGATGAGAGAGGGACATACAGGGCAGAAGATGGCAGGACTTGTGAGAGCTCAGTGATATGATCGGGGGGGTTCCTCTACTTTATGTTTGAAATTTCCAACATCAGAAAATTGTAAAATCTCAACTAAATTTAAGAAAGCTCATGAAGGGCTAAATGAGATTGCTCAGTTTCCTGCATTTATCTTTTCTACACAGAATGAAATAAAACGATTATATGATCACCTGGTGAAGAGTAAGACAGCTCTTCAGCAGTCTTTGAATGAGATCAGTGGCCAGAGTATTGGAGACCAGCTCCAGGTAACCACTCACAGTAATTCACATCGGTGTCACCGTGGGTCCCAGAGTCCAGGCGTCCGCTGTGCATGCCCCGGGCATCTGAACCGCTTCCCTTTCAGAGCAGGGGCGAGGCTCGAGTAAGTCAGTAAAATGGAAATGATGTCTGCTGACCATTAGAGACGTCTCTCAGGCACATGTATTAAGATAGGAAGAGACCATTTTCACCATCAGTGGCAGGAAGTTGTCGGTCCAGGCTGCTGAGGGAGTCAGAAAGAGGCCTTCCCCCGCTTGGCGGTGCACTGGTTGTTCCAGCTTCCGGGGATCGCTTGCCTGTGTGTCAGAATCTTAGACACATTTCTGCTCCCGAACCAGTGGATTCCGCTCACTGACCACACAGTAACTGAGGACCGGCACATACAGTGATTGTTCGGGGGCTGGAGTCCCACGGTTCCCAAGGATATAAAATAGATGCATAAAAATAAACATGCTCATTGAAGGAGGGACCTGGCCACACTGTGAATAGCCCAGATGTCCATTAAGCGCTGCCCGTCCCTAAAGCAGAGCGCAGCCCTACGAAACGGGGCTCACCGTGTGCTTGAGAGGTGCCGGAGGTTTGGGGGCTGATTTGACGAGCTGCTCAGGTGCAGGTCTCCTCACTGGTCCTGCGTGTGAGGAGCGTGTGCTGGGCACAGCGGGGCCGCACGGGGCCCCTGGGAGATGGACAAGGAGAGCTGGAGGTGGAGGAGGGGCATGCGGAGCTTTTCATTTTCCTTTAATTTCTTTGACCAAAAAAGGTACTTCTCTGACTTACCAGAGGCTTCTCCTCCACTTTCTCCTTTCTCTCTTAGAAAGCAGAGGCGTATACAGCAGAGCTACAGAACTCTGAGAACCGAGTGGCCAAACTAAGAGACGAAGGGGAGAGGCTTGGCTTACCCTCCACAGTCCTGCAGGAGGTGCACAAGTTAGAGGTACGGCCTAGCAGAGCCCGCTCCCGGCCCGGCGTCACGAGTGGGGAGGCTGCGTTCTCCCGAGAAGGTGTAGGTGGGTTCTGCGTCTGAATTCTTTCCTTGGTTGGATGAAATACCTGTGTACACCTTTCCCTCTCAGGATGTGCTGGACGGCATGTGGGGCATCCTCAGAGCTAGGTACTCGGAACTCAGCAGCCCCTTCTCCTCTGAGAGCCAGCTGGACGCCTTGCTGCAGGGCCTGGGGGAGCTGGTCAGTATCGGAAAGGAGAAGCTTGTGCAGAGCCACTTACAAGCCAAAAGCAAAGCCGCTTTACAGGCCCACCTACAGAACCATAAGGTAAGGCCGAGCCGTCAGATTCTTCCTTCCAGGGCCTAGGAACTCAAGATTTTTCTGAGTTTGATGGAAACTAGCCACGTTCTTCCCTGGTGAAGCACGCACCATTTCTTCCTGTGCAAACATGCATTCGTGTCCGGCAGGAACCTTAAGCCCCAGGAGCACGGCTGTGAGGGGGACAGACCCGATCCTTATGTTCCGCTGAGCTAGAAGACAGACACCCATCAGTGAGCCTTCAAAAGACTTACGGCTAAAATTTAGATTCATTCCGGGAGAGCGTTCAGTAGGAGAAACTGACATAGGATTGGAAAGGGCTTCTGAGAACTGGAATCATAAGGAGAATGCACTATTCTGTAGTGTCTAGTACAGGAAATCCTTCCGTTTCCCACTAATTTCCTGATCACCAGCTGAAGGTGTGTGGTAACCTAAGTGCTGGAATAAAAAGCATAAGGCGTAGTCTTACCTTGTGAAAGCTCATAGTCCAGCGCCTTTGGTAGGTGGACCTCGGTGTAAGAAAATTAAAAGGTAAATACTGAATAAGAAGTAGAACACAGCAGGAGAAAATAATATTGATTCCCTTACTGTGTACCCAGCCCTTCCCTAGATTCTTTTGCAAACAGTTTGCCCTTTTCAAAGAGTAGAAGATGCTTCTATGATGTTGGGAGGTCTCTCCAGACAACCAGGGGAAGGACCCAGCTGTGGAGGCTGAGGGACTGTGTGACGAGAGCCTTCCTCTTAAATGTCTGGAGCACAAACATGGTCAAGTTGATGGACCAGGATCCCTTTCGGCCCCAGTGAGCAAACCCCTTCTGCTTAGCCACTTCCGTTGAGCAGCATGAGAACAAGGGTTCAGGCGTCGCATCTGCTGGATACGTGGGCTCCTTCGGTTTGCACGCCGAAGATGTACTCTCTTCAGATGAATCCGCACCTTCTAGTCATGTATTAGAACTCAAACCAACTGAGCGAGAACGATCCATCAGGACACCAAAGTGGACCCACAATCATGTCTACTGCCTAAAAGATTGTTTTGTGGGAAACGTTACTTAAGATGATATCTCTTTATAATTTTTTCAAAGCCCATCCGTTTTCAGAGGTGTAGGAATCCATCTCAGTTTTCTTTTTATTTTCTTATACACCTGACTCTGTGCTGCTATTCTGGGATTTTGGATTATAAAACAGAAGCAACTGGATAAAAAATTGAAGTGACTTGGTTGTAAGAATTTTAACAATTTGAAAATAATATTAAAAACTTCTTCCCTGTTGCAGGTGTTTTTCCGGAAGCTTGTTGCGGACATGCTGTTGATCCAAACATACTCTGCCAAGGCGTTTCCTTCTCTGTTAGAAAAGAGAGAGACATTCTGGGCAGAACAAGTAACAGAAATTAAGTCACTTGAAGACAAGGCTCAGCAGTGTGGCACGAAGCTGCAGAGTTTGCTGCAGGTATGTGGCATTGTCAACTTTGTCTGTAGCTGCCGTGCCTAACGCCTCCAGGTGTTGAAAGTGTCATTGGTAAAGCTGGAGCTAAGCTGGGGGAGTGACAGAAGGGAACGTCAGCCTAGTGCTTACTGCCCGCCCGAATGGACAGTTTGCTGGGATTTCTCATGCACAGATCTGGGGGTTGCGACATCTTTCCCCCTTTTAATTTCACGTAAGAATTAACAGGATTGAAGGCACACTGAGGCCATGAGTGAGATCATTTGGCTTAAACAGTTACTGGTTCAGAAACTGGACTCTAGTCTCAGATATCCCATGGCTAAAATGGATCATGACATTCTTGTCTCAGTTCAAAAAAAATTAAGGGCCGGGGACATAGCTCAGTGGCACAAGCACCTGCCTGGCAAGCGCGAGGTTGTGAGTTCGATTCCTAGTACCCCCCCCAAAAAAAAAGAAAAGAAAAATTAAACATGCCTGAAGTTCCTTTTCAGTTTTAAAGTTTCCATTTCTTAGTAAGCCTTTCATGGGCAGTGTTAGCACAGAAAGACAATTTAAAGAAGGGAATGAAGTATTCAACTCGGTAATGTTAGAAGGAGTTATTTTATGCTAACACCATTTATTCTCTAGTTACGGTGCCAAATTGATACTTAGAATATGTCATGGTACTGAAGAAAAAGACCTCATGGGTCCTGTAAAAGCAGGTGACCCACTACCTGAGTAGATACCACAATTAGTGAACTTGTTTTTCCAAGGATAATTTCTAAGGTCAGTAACTCAGCCGTGTGGTGTACTAGGACCCAAACGGGTGGGCTTCTACGGAGATGGGGAAGCAGGAGCGCACAAGATGAAGGGCAAGGCGTAGTACCCCACTGTCCCTGTCCTCAGAGGACTGACCTTCAGGTGCAGGCCAGAATAAGGTCGGGTGGGCTTGGGATTGCAGTGGAGAGGGAGCAGCCTGATGGCAGATTCTGTCAGAAGATTTTAAAAGTAAGCTCCTTGCCTTTCCGAATAAGAGAAGGGCTCTCTTGTGACTGCCAGGTCTCTGCGGGGTGCTTTATTGCATTAACTCCCTTCGTCATTCACCCAGTCTGACCATGCAAGCGTAGAACATGAATGGCAACCAGGTTTCTCTCAGACCCCATCCTCCAAAGCAGCAGAATCATTTTCCATTAGACACTGAGCTCTTACTAGAGTGAGGGATATTGCTCAGGTCCGCCTGAAATCTGTGCTTTAATTTTGCGGGGCCCTGGCGTTCATGTTTGTTTTGCTGACTCTCTGTGATGGTCTGAAACCGAGCTGAAAACGGACTCCCACTGTGCCATGTTGTTGATTCTCTAGAAATGGGAAGACTTCGATGAAAACCATGCATCCCTTGAAAAGGACCTGGAAATTCTCGTCTCTACGTTGCCTTCTGTGAGCTTGGTGGAAGAGACAGAGGAAAGGCTGGTGGAGAGGATCTCACTGTACCAGGTATTTTGCTTCCTGCTTTAAGTCAGCCGAGTGGTGGCCCACAGCACCTTGCATTTTGTTTTGACTAAGTGGCTGGATTTTGAAGCTGAGTGATTTGAATTGGAATGAAATACTGTGTTGTACACATGGAAACGCTCCCCAGAGTGTGAGACAGAGGAGAGCGGGAGGGTATTAGAGACAATCAAAGTGTGTTAGTTATGTGTATGAATCTGCCACAATGACACCCATTCATCTGTGTCACCAGTTTTTAAAGAGGAAAGAAAACAAATAAAATGTTTACCACACTGCTCACAGGGGGATTGCAGATTTGCATAGCCATGCGTCTGGCTTCGGTTGAAGACCTTGGTTTGGCCCCGCTTCCTTATTTGTCACTTTTGTGACCTTCCTGTCTCTCAGGGGCACTGCAGATAATCAAGCTCGGTCTGCCTTTCTCCGGGGCTGGACTTGGTGCACCGTTACTGTGGCAACGAGCTGCAAATGGGAAGAATTTGTAAACCACGAGGCCTCCAAACGTTTATTAAGTTTCATTGCCTTACTGACATCCCAAGTAGACATAGGCTGTGAAACAGAATGTGTTACCTGCCCCCGGCATTAGAGAAGACTGTAAACTCTGAAACTGCTCTTGTGTCACTTTGAATCTTGTTATTATCAAAGTTTTTGTGTCTCTAATGTTAGCGCCATAGAAATGATAAGCCCTTAATGTGGTTTTCAGGTGGCATTGAGAGCATAACCAAGGCAAAAACAAGTTGTAAATCTTCTCAACAGAAACTTGAAAGTATTTAGTTTTCACTTTAGAATACTGTATAAAAGGTCAGAATCTGGGTTACAGACTAGAGGTAGTTTACTTTTTTAAGTTTTGAGATAGGGTTGCACCAAGTGGAACTTGGTGATCCTCCTGGCTTGAACTTGTGATCCTCCTGCCTCAGCCTCCCAAAGTAGCTAGGATGACAGAATACCATGCCTGGCCCCAACTATCAGTGGTAAAACTTCAAAAACAGGTTCATTGCCTGAATAGACTGTATGGGAAAATGAAAGCCAGAAATACATGACAGGACCCTGGTATTCCTTGGGACATGTTAGCCCCTGTGAGGAACATTCTCCAGAGGCTAGAACGGTGCTTTGTACTCTCTCGGAGCCCCACAGCCTACAATAGGTAGATCTGAGTGTCCCAGGGTGAGCGTGGGTACTGGTCTAAGGGTACAGCATGCAGTTGAAAACAGTACTTTAAGAGACAATCTAATACTAGCCGCCCTAATATGAACCTATTTCCCCCACATCCCCTAAAATATGAGTGTGGCTCTATTGTTTGAATACTTTAAAAAAAAATTTTTTTTTTTCTAAGACTTTAAATAAATTTGCCATACTTAAAAGCAGATCCATCCACAAAGTCCTCCTCATAAGAGCATTCTCTGTCCTCGGAGCCAGGGGGCAGTTTGTGTGTGCGAATGACGTTGCAACCTTCATCAGTGGACACCTGTGGCTCAGGTGTGTGGCCGCTGAAGCTACTATGTTCAAGCACTTTGTGCCACCACTCAGCCCGGGGACCAGCACAATCTGGTTCCATTTGTAAAAGGGAGGAATCTAAAATTGAAGCGGTTTAGAAAGCCTTAGTGTAAGTGGAAGGCTTAAAAGACCAGAACTTTTTTTTTCATTGATGTGAAACTTTTTTTTTTTGCTGGGTGTGGTGGCACATGCCTATAATCCCAGCATTCAGGAGGCTGAGGCAGGAGGATCACCTTGAGTTTGAGGCCAGTTTGTGCTATGTAATGAGATCCTGTCTCAGCCCCCACCTCAGTGTTTTTTTTCCCCTACCTTTTAGTAGTAGAGATTACCAATGGGAGTAGGGAAAGGGAGCTAGAATTTTTGGTAACTTGTAAAAAGGTTTAAGTTCACTGGAAAACTGCAGAAGTTCTATTTTGTTCATAATTTCTTTTTAAAGATGAAACTGCTGTCAGGATAAGTGGCATTGGCCGAGCCAGGCTCGGAAGATAATTGCCGTGAGACAAGTTCTCTTCAGGGGGTCCTGTGTTCTCGGTTCTGAAGAATTTTATGTTTTTCGTAAAATGGGTTTAATAATATGCTGTGTGTTTCAATTCATCCTTTTAAAGTTCTCTTCCTTCCTGCCTGCCGAATCCTGACATTCAGAAGCCTCTAGAAGATCATTGCCCTTAGTGTTTCCGTGTTGCACACACCAGAGAAATGTTTTCCTGTGCATCCCCTTGGTGTACGGCTGCAGTATTCCGAGGCCCAGAGGACAGAAGTGAGGACCCTGGCTGGGTCTGCAGTTGGGGTGTGGACCCGGGAAGGGAAAGCTGGGGCGCAGGCTCCCTGAAGTGGGCTGCAAGGGCTGCTGGGTTCAGCCTCGGCCACATAGGAATGCCCCATCCTCCAACCAGCTTTCTAGAGGCACGGGAAATCCTGACCTCTCTAGCTTATGCAGATTGTATGTGACAAGTTATGATTTTCAAAATAATATCTAGGTCAAACAAAACCTGTCTGAAAACCAAGCAGAGTAACACATGCCCATACGTCCAGCTCCTTGGAGGACTGAGACAAGAGGGTCCCTTGGGGTAGGTGTTGATGGTCAGGCTGGCAGTTCTGCAAGATCTCTGAGAGAGACAGAGAGACAGAGAAGGGAGAGAGACAGAAAAAGAGAGCATGAAAGATGTCAAGCCTTCCGCATATGACCTCTATACAGCCAGTTTGCTTTTAGTTTCTTGTTTTTTTGTCTTTTGGAGACAGGGTCTCGCTATGCAGTTCAGACTGGCCATGAGCTCACTTTGTAGCCCAGGCTGGTCTGGAACTCACAACGATCCTCCTGCCTCAGCCTCCCAAGTGCTGGGATTACAGGTGTGCGCCGCCACCTCGCCCAGCTTGTTTTTGTTTTTAAATTTTAGATGATAGAATTAATTGTCAGATCAGAATCTTCAGATTTGAGCTGCGAATGTAGCTCAGTGGTAGAATGCTTGCCTAGCATGCACAAGGCCCTAGGTTCAATCCCAACATTGGAGGAAAAATCAAACACAAAAAAGCCAAAAGCAGTCAATCAATCAGTCACTCAATCTGCAGAACTTTGGCTTCTCGTCCACATACAGTAAGTCTGTGGAGCTGGATCTGTTTTATAGATAATCACACCTTGTTGTGAAAGGCAATCAATAACCCATCAACCAGGTCTCTCCAGGCTTGGGCATGGGGAGAGTCTCAATAGTGCTTCAGTAGCCTGCAGTGTATGTTTTCAAAGCAAGTGCTTGTGACTAGATTGGCAGATTTTGTTCTCTTTTAAACAACTCAGCCCCTGCCTTTTATTAGCAAATCAAAAGGAACATTGAAGGAAAGCATGCCCGACTGTACCAAACGCTGCGTGAAGGCAGACAGCTGGCGGCGTCCGTGAGCTGTCCGGAGCTAGAGGGCCAGATCACCCGACTGGAGGAGCAGGGGCTGGCCCTGAACAGGAAGACGGACCACGAGCTCCACAGACTGCACACGCTGCTCAAGCACCTGCTCAGGTACGTTGCCTGAAGGGTGGATTGGCTTGCACTGTCTGTGGAGAAAGACCTTGGCGGGATCCTGCAGTCATCTAAATTCTTCATGCAGTCTCCTGCTTCCCGTGTTCTCAACAACCTAAAGCCGTTGCATCCCCTTCTGGGTCAAATGGAATCCAGGGTTGGTCTCTGCTACTGGTTTGCTAGACCCAGAATAATATGCAGTAGGTTTGCCAGGAATATTCATTTACATCTATGGAAACTAGGAGTTGTACTGTAAAATAACGTGTAAGTTACCTTTACACCAGATGTTGCAGTTTACCCTCTTCCTGAAGTTTTATAACTTAAACAAAATTAAATGGTTTTAACTAAGAGAATCATTTGCAGAAGTCTTTTGCATTCTTCAGAGGGTTTGTTTTGCTCAGTTGGCGCAACCTTGAACCATTTGAAGATAGTAGAAAACAGAGAGGAAGCCTTCTTCTCATTCGGAAGGCTGGCCACCTAAGCTCAAGGAGTCGTCAGAGGGCAGTGTGTGTCTGGATATTTTCATCAGATAAATATATTGTCATCCAGCCAGCAGCAGTTATATATGCTGACTATATTTTTCTATAAACATATTGATAGGAAATATTTGGAAGATAAAGCATCCTCTTTGTCCTTACCAATGGATTAGTATCCTTCTGGGTATAACTATAATAAAAAGTAATAAAAAAAAATGCCTTTTTTCCTGATTAGCCATAATGGAGGGAGTCCCAGAAAATAAAAGAGCGTTGAATTTGGGGCATGGTATATGTTGTATGTAATATAATCCTTATAAATGTCACAATTTTCTGAGTAATAAGGCTGGTCAACACAAGAAAATACACATCAAAGGAAGACGAAAATATGCTAGTGGTGTCTGTCACCAGCAGACAATTCTAATTATCTTCTCTCCTGCTTTGCCCCTGTTAGTTACAACAGGGATTCGGATGAGTTAACCAAGTGGTTGGAATCTTCCCAGCAAACTTTGAATTACTGGAAAGAACAGTCCCTCAATGTGTCTCAGGACTTGGATACAATCAGAAGCAACATAAAGAAATTCTTTGTAAGTTACAATAGGATCTGCTTAGGTCAGTGTCGGTCAGCAAACCACTGCCTGAGAATCTCCATCCCCTGTGCTCTCTGGTGTGTATCTCATGTCTGGAGTAGTGCTTGACAGGAGGGCTGTGTGTGTGTGTGTGTGTGTGTGTGTGTGTGTGTGTGTGTGTAGATTTGTTTACTGTGTTCAGTTGTTCTGACCATATATATATATTTTTATATATATATGTATGTATTTTGTGTGTGTGTGTGTCTTTTTTTTTTTTT